TGCCAAGGTGGCGGCCCAAGGGCCGGATGCATCACGTGCAGGCCATGCCCACCCTGGCTCCGCAAAGGCAAAAAAAGTCACGATACGTCATGTGACGCAATTGAGTTTGACACCCATGCCTTAAAGAGAGCTGAAGCACTCACCAAAGTCATGTTTTTTTTAAAAAAAAAACAACAACAAGGTGCTTGTATGTAAAATCTGTATCTTAAGAAATATGGTTGGGAGTATGCTATCATGGTCTAACAAAAAGAGAAACTGCACAACTTTTAGCACACTAGAGCATATAGTCATATTACTAGTTACGTATGGCACTTCACTAAAATCTAAACTTTCACCTTTTTGCTAGTAAATGCTTGGAGGCCTAAATAGCCATCTCCCACAGTATGAACAGTAACTGAATTTAACAAGCTGAGAAAAAAAACAGTTTTAGAATTTTTATTGATACAATTGTTCAATATTTTGCCACATTTGTGGCAAGTCATCTTTCAGATGTTACGACTTTCAAGCCCTCCTTCTTATATGTTCAAGCAAATTATTGATAATTTATGTGCTAATGAATTAAGCTAATGATGGTGAAGCTACTTATCCACTATTTTTGAAATAATTAAAACTACTTCTATTATTTGGGGGATATAATCTGATTTCAAGGTTTGCTCAAAATGAGAAATGGTAAAATCACCAAAACAAAAGCTGCAGAAATAGAAGAGATGGAATTAAGCAATACTTAAGAAAATCTGCACCATATTTTATCTTTATCTGAGTAAGCAAACAAAAAGAAATTAAACACTTGAATGCAACGATCAGAAACATAAGTAATACAGATTTTAATTTCCATATTATAAAGTACAGAAAGTGAAATCTATGGTCAAATACAAATTTAAACAAGCCACTTGTCCTTCCAAACAGTAAATCAGTAAGCTACCTATAGAAACAAATTTTAAAGTAAAACTGAAACAAAATAAATACTGTACATACACTTTCCCTGCCAGCAGGCAAAAATGGAATGGGAAACTTGAGTAAATAGGGAGGGGGGGAGCTCTTTAAGCTGCAGCCTCCCATTTTCCAACCAAAAACTCCACATAGGAGTGTATTTGTATAAAAAGGAGCAAAGAACACACAAATCTCTATTCAGAAAGACAACTATTTCACCACACTGAAAAAATTGAGAATTTAGATTGACAGTAGAAAAAGGTGTTGGGAAACAGACACATCAGCAAAACACTACTACAAAACTAGCAAATATAGCCAAGACTTATCCCCTTTTTGCAAATGTAATGAATATCTTAAAAATGCCAAAGCACTGGCAAAGTTAAACTTTTCCCAGCAGAAGTGATAATTCATATTAATATAATCTCTTAAAGTGAATTATTTCATTCCCTTCTTACAGCAAGAAACTATTATGGCTTAAAATTTATATTCAAAGTTTTCTTCCAGGCAAAAATGCAGCTTTATCAGCAGCTGCATTTTGTAATCAGTGCTAATCTTATTACCGTCCTGCTCTGTACAATACAGTCATTTTATTGTATATAGAACGTTGCTCTTTTGGGAAAAAAATGGAGTTGCAGCTCTTAATCCAGTTTAAACTACAAAGTGTAAGGCCTTTAAATTCAATTTACATTTCTTTCACAAAATAAAATTGCCCTGGGTTTACCTGCTTAAGTTAATGAACAGATTTTTATGGTCTGGAAGTATGAATGCATGTTAGTATAAAAAAGTGAAAGGGGAGAGGTGTTAGTGGTGTTTCTGTTTATTTATTGCAGCACAGAAATTGTGATCAAAGAGGCACTATGCAAGGAACTGTGTAGAAAGTAATGCCTCTCAATTTCCTTCCAGTTACCAGCTATAAAGTTGGAAAAATCTGGAAGGAAGACTGGAGTTGCTTTCCATCGTAATATTCCTAAGTTTAATAATGGACATTCTGAGAAATCAAAGTAATCTGAAGTATATAAAAAACTTCAGTAAAATAATGTATCTTTAATTTGATTATGACATATGTTGTTACACTGAAGAACATTAATGTAAGTATTTTAACTTTGTATTATTCAATCCTATCAAAATTATTTGAAAATCATACAACGAATACAATGATTGCATAGGTAAATCTACTACAGAGATCATTTGAGGCTACAGCCTGAATTGAGGCAGCCTGAATTCAGTAAGCAAAGACTATGGAATAATGAGAAATGTGATTTAAAATGCTGCTGCTAAAGTTGCTGCTCTGAAATTCTGTTTTCCTTCCGTCTTCAACATAATCCAAAACACTTTATTTCACCCCATTGGTTTAGGGAGGAAGAGGTCTAAAGTAATTCTAGCATACATCTGAAATACTGGGTCTAGTTATATAAAAGAATCTTTCTCTGAATACAGATTCTACTGAGGATAGAGCAACTTTTTCCAAATTTGGCTTAAATATCCTTTTTTGCTCTCAAGAAAATAAAACAATTAGCGGGCTATATAATTAAATTCAGATATCTGCTACAAATGTAAAATCTGGTGCAATACAGTAATGATTTGTATAAATGAAGCAACTAGCATACAGACAAGACTGCCCACTCTAACTTCTTCATTATATTACTAAAATAATTTCTTTATTTGCTTCTTCAAAATCATTAATTTTGATAGATATATTTGCCTTCCTCGATACATTTAAAGTCTAAGAAATAGCCTCACTGAAGTGGTAACAGAAGATTTGCTTCAAATTGTGTTTGAAACGTGGAAAGCCAGAATTTTATAATCAGCATTTTTATTTTAGTAATCTAAGAAGATATATTTCTATGCTGATAACAACAAAGAACAATTTGATGGGGATAGGCATCTGTGAAGAGAATGAGAAAAATGGAATAGCTATTAAAATATAACGTTTCCGAAACCTACTCCTTCTCTCCACTACTACCTCTCTTCTGCAGGTATGCATTTTAATGATTATGGTTCTCAGAGAAATCAGACCAGTTGTGACACTTATCAGTTATTCTGATCAATAAAGAATATATAATTTTAATGTATTTATCATTCAGTTAATTGTAGCCTCAACGTTTTTTGCATTACAGATGATGCTAGGATATCACAAGAAATAAACTGCTTAAAAAAATATGGCTTATGAAAATTAGAACTAAATCAAAACCAGGTTCTTTCTAACCGTTTTTGTGCCTAAAAGAAAAGACGGAATAATTTTAAAATACATTGAAAATACACAATACAAGTACTTATTTTAATGTACCATAGCCCAGTTAGAATATATGACTCTTGAAACTGATAAGTAAATCTCTTCTTTTTCAAAAAAAACCCAATGTTGAGTTTTCACCCTGTAATCAATTCTCTTAGCGATGCCAGCAGTGAAGAGGTTCTTCCAGTCTTGTTTTTTTTTCTTCTACATTTGACATTTGTATGCTAAGAAAACTGAAGAAGGAAGGAAGGTCAAGAAAAACAGACTTATTTTCAAAACCTCAGATATATCACAGGTTGATATCCGTTTGATTTTTGTTCCTTTATTCCTCAGTTTCATTCAACGTATTCTTAAATGAAAGGTGAAATCCATTATCACACAAATGCAGTGCACTCATGCAATTGAACTTCCTTCACCGGTCCTTCTGTAATTTTCTGATCTGTTTTAGAAATTACCTCAGCCCTCCCAAAGTGATTTGAAAGGGACTTGCTGCATGTGGGGTAGAGAATCAGCCTACTTTTCCTTAATGAATACTAGCTTAAATTTTTGGCTATCACTCCCTCACAATTATAGAAACAATCTATTCATTTAAATGGGACAGTGGCAACCTCACTGAGGACTACAACCTTGAAATTTAGCTAAGTCCTAGTACCAGCAGTGACTAGTTTGATATGCAACAAAAACATAATTAGTTTAATTCAGATATGTTGCAGACAAATACAGAAAATACTGAATATAAAACAGAAAGGTCCTGTTTTGGGACATCTAGATATGTTATTTTAGATAGAACCTAAAGGCTGGGAAGTTTATTTAAGAAAGTCAAGCAGCTGAGTAGCTTTGGCCATGCTTTAACCCTTGATCAATAAGAAAACCAAACTACTAAAGCAGTATCCCTAATATTCCTGCTCTGGTACTGAATAGCCCTCTTAGTAAAGCGGTAATCAGATGCTTTCCCATTTTTCCCCGAAAGAGCTTAAATATTCAGCTTTATCTTACAAAAATATGATTTTTCATCTAGGTTATATACATGCATTTTAGAATCAGCATTTACTACCAGATCTTTGCCAAGCATGACATAAAATATGTCATACTGAAATTCAAAAGCTATCAAACATATTTACATATTTACAAAAATGACTTAAGACCTTTAATCAGCTGGCATGTGTAGACAATCAAAACAATACTCTGCCACTATAACAGTCTTTCTCCACAAAATGTATTTATATGTCTATACTTAAATCAATACCTGTAGTCCTACATGGGTGATTGCTATGCATTATTCTCCAGACCATGGAAATAAAATAAGGGAAAGGCTAAAACAAAGGCTGCTCACATTATGCTAATAAATGGTGAAAATGAAGAGGAAATGGAAGTAATGAAGGAAGACATTTCAATGAACTAAACTACCAGAGAATCTGTACTTTAGGAGTCAGTAAAAAGCCATCCATGGTGTTGTATAGAAGAACAGAATCTAAGATGTGTTTTCATATCCTTAACTTAATAAATCATATAATATATCATGTCCATGTTTTAAATCTATTATCTCTATATCAAATGCTTGAATTCAGAACAAACAACGCAGCTCTCTCCACTTGCAGACAGACAATAAAGACAAATAAAACCTTCACATTTTGACAGTTTAAAATTAAAATAATTCCCCCAAAAGGTTTCCAAATAAATAGCTTAAACATGAATTCAATCCTTGACAATAACTGACAAATAAATTATTGATTACCACTTTCATCACACTCTGTTCATGAGTTAGCTCAGACACTACCAAAAGCATCAAAATGAGCCCTGAAAAACAGACCATTTTTCCAATTCATAGTCTTTTCAAATATTTTCATTTCCCAAAAGTTATTGCTCAGCAGATGTGGCACAGTGAAAATGCAGCATTGGGTTTTTGTTCATCAGGCAGTGTTCAAATAAGAGGCATGCATTCTGCTTCAAGCAGAGGAATAAAACAGAAGCTCCAGGCGCTGTTACCCTCAATACTGGTCTATGAATGAAGAAAAGCAGAAGCAGCCACTACATCAAACTAAGTATCGTACATGGCCATTTCGGTTCAGTTTTAGAATTTTCCCAAGCCGTTGTTTGGCAGTTGCCATTCCTTTCTTTGGACGCTTGCCTGAAAGAGGAAAGAAACACATATATTTATCAACACTATATTATAGTCCTTACATATAATTTCAAAACTCAAGAAAATAGTCTTGTGGAATCCTAAGAGTTTAAAGGTAGAGATCACCTAGTCAACCTTGCTCTATCCACAATAGTATCTCTAATAGATGAGCATCCAGACTGTTTGAAGAGCTCTAGAAAAAAAGAACTCACAGCTTTATATTTATATAGCAGACTGTTCCACTGGCTGACAGCTCATACCGCTAGGAGTTTCTTCATGTTAACCCATTGGTTCTGGACCTCCCTGTTCTGTGTGAACACTATTCATACCTGAAGACTGCTATTGTATCTCCCATCATTTTTTTGTATCCAGGACATTTAATTATTCCTCATAAGGCCTTTCCAGATGCCTCACAACCTCTGATAAAGATGACAGTCTGTGTCATTTCTGTACATTTATTCTGCTTTAATTTCAACATGTACCAAGACTGTTTCTTGGATCTTATGGTGTTTTATACTGTTGTTCCAATCTGTCACTGTCCTTTTTGTACTTTAGTGCCACGACCTGGACCCATACATCAATGGGATCTGACCAAACCAGAGTAGAGTGAGGCAATTCCCTCCAATGATCTTGATTCTATGCTCCTGTCCCACAAAAGAGCATTTACCTTTTTAGTAGCTGCTTTACATTGGTGTGGATCTTTTTGTCTAGATTTCTCTCTTTCATCTAAGCATTTGAATGCTTTATAAGTGTTTCCATCAACTCCCTCATCCAGTAACTACTAAAAATGCACAGTATAAAAACACCATAGGATCCAAGAAAGTCTTGTGGCACATGTTGAAATTAAAGCAAAATAAATGAACAGAGATGACACAGACTGTCCATCATCTAGTTACATTCAGTCCTGACATCATATAGCAAAGATACAAAATATTCCTGTAGAAGTACTGGCCGCTGTTTATTTAATGGATTTATATACTATCAGCCAAGCCGGCCCATGGAAATTTGCAGTGACTGTATTACAAATAGTAAAATGATAAAATATATCATTCTGTTTTTATTGGTTATTCTTGTGAACTATCTAGGATCACTGTGTATAGGACACAATCTAAGTGTTATAAATAAATAAAACATTTAAAACATAATAAACCAACAAATGATCAATATATTCATATGCAGCATATAAAGTGAAATAATATCAAAAAAGTCTGCATATCATAATTAAAATAGCCAATATAGTTTTTAAACTTCTAAAAAACTTGGTTGAAGGAGCAATANAGGAAGGAAGGAAGGAAGGAAGGAAGGAAGGAAGGAAGGAAGGAAGGAAGGAAGGGACTAAGCATGGTTGTCAGGGAGGTTCTGTTCTTTTGGGCAGAATGGCCAAAATCGTCATGGAAGCTGGGAGGTAGCAGTCATTCAGCAGGCCAACTTGAGCCCTTCAGATACTGACCTCACCCAGGCTGCTTCTAATGAACCAAAATGTTTTCATAAGAGGTTGTATTATGTTTTTTAATGGAAAATAAATACCACTTTCCAGCTTCAGAAAAGAGGCTCTATTCTGAAGACAGTAAATTATCTCAGAACTTGGACAAAGAGGATGCATAGATGAAGCCTAGGGCTAAGAATTTATTTATAATTTATTTAGGAAATTTTCATTGAGGCCAGATCTGAACTGATGGTTTTCCAACTTGTTCATTATGCCAGTGTTTACATCTATAGAGAAATTTGTAATATGATAGCTTTGAAGTTTGACATTGATAAAAACTTTGTGTGAAATAATCCCGAGTGAAAAAAACTGGTTAAAAATTTCAAATCACATTTGAATGGACAGAACTGTTTACAGGGATGCACACTGAACCCATTTTCTGAATATTCACATTTTAAGATAAGCATGTGGTACAAATGGCAACAGCAAGTAAATTGGTTGCCAAAAAAAAAAGAACATAGATGATTACACTACCTTTTGTTGCCTGGTTGCTGATGGGGGGTGGATTTGATGCTGGCCGCTTGGTTGGATGAAGAGGTACAGTGGATGCTTCACCAAATGGTCGATCGGAGCTGAGACTGCTGTCACTTAATCTGCATTCCCCATCAATTAAGTTGCAGTCCTGCATACATTTGCTATGCTGAAAGTTTATTCCATTATTTTGCACATGGTTCCTGTTTTCTTGAATTCTGTAACAGGTTTCAGATGCAACTTCTTTCTTAACATGTTTCTGAGTTTTACCTGTCTCCTAAAGATGGAGAAAGGTATTTAAATCCATAATGCTTTTAATAAAATGTTGAATGTATGTTTGTAGATTTATGCGAACAACACCAACATTTATTATAAAAAACTTAACTTGATTGCTTGTAACTTGATTTATCTACACTCAAAGTTATATGGTAGATGGGTTTTACAAACTACGGTAAATATTTATTACATGAAGTGATGCAAAAGTCATGAAATTAGGAATACTAAATTCATTACATCTTTCAACAGATATTAAAACTAGAAAATTTATTTTCATATATTTTGACAGATATTGAACATTATTACAGTAAATTTTCAGAGATTTGCAAGCTATAATCAGAACAAATTGTTTATAACTATCTGAACTTGTTATTTCATTACTTTCTATTAACACAACAGATCTCTAAAAATGGTTAAATCTCCTACTTCATACCTACATTTGCATCTACAGTTTAGTTAACTCTATACAACAACACAATACTGAACCCTGTGCCCTATTATAATCCCATTTGTTAATCTCTTCTGTTATTGGAATGTTCTGCAGCTTAAAAACCTTGCAGAAACACCTCACTCTTTCAGTTAATGTAGCAAGATTCACAATGTGTACATTCATATTAAATAGAAATGGATAATCTTGTGGTTCAGCTTTGTCAATCTCAGTCAATTATGAGAATTTTAAATCGAAACATCTATAGAGCAGAACCTTGGCTGGTGTAGAGGCCCACATATTTTATCAGGAAAGAACTAAAGAGTTATAATTAGTGAATATGCAAAATGTGGCATACACTTATTTTAAAAAGTCAAAATTTTGAACATTCAATATACCGTATCTCACCTGAGGACTGATTTTAGAAACTGCATGTAATGGTGTAAGAAATACTGAAGCTCCCATTTCTTTTTCATCTTTTATGTGCTTGCCTGTATGGAAATTTAAAATGTTCAGAAACATTTCAAGAATTCTGATTTTAAAAAAGATAAGAATTATTTCCTGTTTTCCCTATACTCTATTTCTTATCCACAGTTCATATACAAGTAGTCCTCGACTTGCAATAGTTCATTTAGTGACCATTTAAAGTTACAACGGCACTGAAAAAATGACTTATGACCATTTTTCATACTTATGACCTTTGTGGCATCTCCATGATCATGTGTTGCTTGGCAACTGACCCATATGTATGACGGTTGCTGTGTCCCAAAGTCATATGATTACCTTTTGCAACCTTTTGACAAGCAAAATCAACGACCATTGCAGCATCCCCATGGTGACATGATCAAAATTCAGACACTTGGCAACTGACTCATACTTATGAGGGCTGCAGCGTCCCAGGGTCACGTGATCCCCGTGTGCAACCATCTGACAAGCAAAGCCAATGGGGAAGCAAGATTCACTTAACAACCGAATTACTAATTTATTAACTGTGGTAATTCACTCAACAACTGTAGCAAGGAAGGTCGTAAAATGGGACAAAACTCACTTAATAAATGTCTCATTCAACAACAGAAATTTTGGGCTCAATGGTGGCCGCAATTTAATAGGGACTACCTGTACTGTTATATACAGTACTGCTTAAACATTAAGAAATCCTTTTGAATTGTCAATATTTCTGCATAAATATGATCTAAAACACAAACTATTATCTATATAAGTTCTAAAACTGGATAAAGAGAAAATATAGAACTTGTGTTTAGAATACAACAAGGATCTGATTTTAAGACTATCCTAAGTGGGAAATACATCAGTCTCACTTGATCAGCAGGCTAAGACTCCCCAAGTCAAATGATATATGTAAACCATATTTGATATCTGCTGTCATTGCAGGAAGTTCTAAAGATTTGGCTTTCTTTATGTTCCACGCACTGATATAAAGCTATTCTAGATCTAGATGCTAAATCTCACCCTGGTTCAAGGTGCCTAGACACACTGAAAGGTGTCACAGTTCCTCAAAGCTCATCTCAAGCCCTCTGAGCCAAAAGGGAATGATCCCTATCACTTGCACACAGAGCTTGCATACTTGGTGCATTCCCTATGCTAAAATTGGAATTGGCAGGAATTCATGCATGGAAGAAACCATTGGATTGTCCTTGCATACAATCATACCAAGGTACAGAGTCCTGAACTACAGTCATCATATTCTGCAAGTGATTGCTACATATCAACACTTCCTGAATCACAATCTGAATCATTGGTCTACACCGAGACAGGAAAGCCTTTTTCCATTATGTGCTTACTATGATTCCCAGAGATCTTTTCTCCCTACTTACCACAAATGCATAGTCACAAACACTGAAAAGTCTGATCAATGATTCATGAAAAGTTTTGTCTGTTTTGTCTGTCTGTTTGTCTATGTACTCCCTGAGTTCTTAAGTACTATACCCAACCAAAGATGATGTCTGTGAAGTCTCTTAAAGAGTCAAGCAATGGTTGTATAGAAGAATTCTGAATTGAAAGTCCTCCTTCCTGTAAGTAAAACTGAAACACTTGGAGGGTATATATAGGCTGCTTTGATTTGGAGAGATCTATTGATGCTAGGAAATTGTTCAGAAGGATCATTTCTGTCATAGAGACCACAGTCTCCATTCTGAATATTCAGTGCCTGATGAATTTTCCTCTTGGCCACAGTTGCCACCTGCTTTTTCAACAGAAGCTGTGACTCCAACAGCACCGCCAAACTGCGCACAAGACAAATGAAGAATGAGAAAATGCCATCTTCACTGAAGACTAGCAGCATAATATGCGAGAACCACAAGGCCAAAATAAAAAATGCCATTTGGTCTTGTAAGGAAACAGCCCTGTTCTGCCTCCTCCAAAGTCATAGAACTTCCTAATACTGAGGTAGGACTTCAAGGGCATCACTTAGTTGGTCTAGGGCAGGGGTAGTCAACCTTGGCTCTTTTATGACACGTGGACTTCAACTCCCAGAATTCCTGAGCCAGCTAGTAGTCAACCTTGGCTCTTTTATGACTTGTGGACTTTAACTCCCAGAATTCCTGAGCCAGCACAGCTGGCTCAGGAATTCTGGGAGTTGAAGTCCACAAGTCATAAAAGAGCCAAGGTTGACTACCCCTGGTCTAGGGTAAAGTTGCATAATAGGATATTAATGATACTGTTGAAGACCAACATTGGAATAGATATATGACCCCCAAATTAGACAGATTATTGGCTTTCTGAATTGTTTCCTTTTCACTTAGAAGTACTGGAGCCAGGTCAAAAGACACAGACTTAGAATGAACGTTGAACTCAGGCTTTGAAAATCAGGATGGAATTCTTCTACATATAAAAACCACAACTAATTACCTCAAACTTTTGTAGCTGGAGCAATTTCATTTTATAAATGGAAACTGTTTAGTTTCTGTTATTGTCAAACAAATGGGAGTTAGAAAAACCTTACTGATCCATTGCAGGTCACCAGATTATAATTTATCTTCTAGCCAATTTATCTTCTGAAATATCCAGCAACAGGACAACTTACCATATTCCGGTTTATAACTCTGAGAAGACATTTTATCTTTATGTCTATTTTTGGAATAGCTTCTGTGATCTGGAACAAAACTTCTTCGGTCAGTGCAGTCTGTGCTCCGAGTATAACTTGGTAAACAAGTGGTATAGTGCAATCCTGCCATTGACAGCATGCCCTGAATAGCTTCTTCCTCCATACTTGTCGAGGTAGGACATTCCCTAAAAAGGGAAAAAGCAGAAGGTACAGCTACATACCTACATACATGCATACATGTGTGTGTGTATTCCTGTTCAAGGTCATTTTGTTCCAATTATCTCCAATAATTTTTATACTATAGATCTCCTATGCAATTACTCACGTTTTATTTGCATTTTCATTTCTAGATGGCTTCTCTGTGATTTGAAACAGGTCCTTTGTTACTTTATTTTCCTCTTTAAAATTTGAAGTTACTTCTTGTTTTTCATCATCTCCTGAGCTTTCTGATTCCTCTA